ACGAAGTGGAGTAGCCCAGGAAAATAATCCCAACGCGTGGCCAACTATGGGATTAAACTGCCTTTAATCGCATCGCGTGGTCCACTCGTATACAAACTCAAAATGCCACAACTACGAACTAATTAAAGGCAATCTTCTGTCACATATTCAATGTGTTATTTTGTCCGTAGTAGTAATAAAGCTTTATTTATTCACGAAAACATAACTCAACAACTTACATGCTTTTCATCATGGCCGTGATAAAAAAGAAAACAAAAAAATATAGTATATCAAATTTACAAAGCATACAATATAAAGGAAAGGCTTAAATACAATATAATAAAATATGATATTTTGGATTTGCGTCAGGAGAATCAATTAGGGGGCCTATATGTATTTTCTGATTGCTTTACTATTTGTTTCAATTGTATTGCTTGAAAAAGTCACCGTCATTTTTCACTTTTCGATTGGTGCTATGCTGACCGCCCACCGCGTAGAGGCTGCATTTTTACACCTCTAGCGACTTCGTTGGCTTTAAATTGCCATTTCGGCTGTTCACCAATCAAATATCCTGTTGTTCATTCCCCTCCCCCACGTAGGATCCCAGCCTTAGAAAGCCACAGGGCCCTCGCCCCAGCCTTACAGGTACGCCACTGGATATGAAGTGTTTGTAATTATCTAATCTTAGCCTCAACCATGGTGGGCTGAAGTGGATGATAGTTTTCATAAATATTATATCTAAGTTCCGTTTTCTGGAATCTATATCGTCTCAAATTCTTTAAATTTACCCATCTGCGTCCCATGGTGGGGCTCAGGTGGATATGGTGGTTTTTGTAATTTTAAATATTTAATTAATTAGTGTTTTGTTTTGCTTTCTGCTCAGTTTATCAAAAATAAAAAGAATTTTCGGGAATCCAGGTACAAAATATTGCAAATTTTCGCGCGTCACCTCCAACCATGGTGGCGCTGACGTGGTGTAGACTCTCCCTTCATTCAATCCTGGATAACCAGTGCAAAATATTCCATTAAGCAAATCAGAAAGTTTTACAGTGTTTCTGTTTTGCTAGCATAACACGCACGATTACGCAAACATTTGCCAACTTTACGCACGATTACACCCAAGACCATAATAAGTTCTACATTTTTAGCCTAGCTACCATTCTTACGCAAGAAGCGGTTTGACGCAGCGGTTCTGGATCAACTTCTCAACCCGAGGTCGGAGGTTCAATCCCTCGCTGTGCTTATCGTTGTTGTGTCCTGTGGCAAGGCACTTCACCTACGGTTGTCTCTCTGCACCGAGTACAATTGGGTATGTGCTACAAAATGCGCTGATTACAGCTGTGACGTTATGAAATTCTCCCAAGGGCTGAGTATATGTTCCATGCTTTATCCAATAACGTGAATAATAATAATATGAACCGCAACCCTTGTTGGCATAAAGAACTACATATTAATAGTCTAACATATTATTATCATTATCATTTTATTATTATTATTATTATTATTATTATTATTATTATTATTATTATTATTATTATTATTATTATTATTATTATTATTATTATTATTATTATATTAGGCCATATTATTTCGTCAATCTTACCTCTTGGTGTAGAGAGGCGGTGTGGAAAACTGCTTGTCCATGATCAAATCAAAACGGTTGCTGTCTCATCCAAACTACTTGACTGCAATCGCTAAATGCGCGTCGAGCTTATTTCATGTCCTCTATATACGTATACCCTCCTGACCTTTAGACTGAGTTAGTCGTATAAAATAGTTATCGTCGCATCAAGAAGACTTTACATTTTTTTTAAAAAGATGATTTAATATAAACTAAATGTTTTGTCATCCGAACTGTTTTCAGCCCAATTTGCGAACTCTGGATTTCAGCCTCGATCCACCACCGAGACACTCTTTCATTGAAAAAACAAATTGATCCAGTTTTACCAGGGAGAAAAACAATTGTTCCAAAGCTTATTGCCTACTTTTCACCCGAGAACGTTAGCTCTCTATAGGTAACAACAAAAAGCACTGGCACTTTAAAAAAAAAAAAAACAAACAAAAACTTTTACAAATTATAAATCATATTTAGAAAGAATACACAGTCTAGTCTGACTTATAAATACTAACATGTTCGTAGGCCTACTAATTATTTTAAGATTAATCAATATATTTACAATAAGATTAATGAATCTGTAAATTTATTGGTTAGGCCTAATCTTACCATAATCTCCAAATTTTACCACAAGTAAAAAATAGAATAGACCATGAGAATTAATTCTGAAGACAAACAAAATAATAGTTCAGAATCACGATTGTTTGCATCAAAATATTAAATTTGTTTCATACATATATTACTTTTAAAAAAATCTAATATTCTAGATTTGGTGGCGCTACATGGGTTAGGAGAGGGAAAGGTGAATTTCCCCGAGATAATTGATAATTTTCTCTCCCCCTCCCCCCCCCCACCCACAG